GCAAGGAAGCAGCCAAAGGGGCAACCCATGGCCAGGAGGAGGGGAAGGGTCTCAAATCAGGCATGTAGTTGCCAAAATTTACAAGCTGCCAAAATTTACAAGTTGCCAAAATTTACAAGCGCACCCCCCCCACTTCCCTGCCCACCCATCCCCATCACAAGATAAGTTGGCAAAGTCAAGTCTTCCTCTGCATTTTGCTCAGCGCACCAATCCTGGCACATACCTGGCTTATCTCAGCTTCCAAGAACATGGACCCCTCTGTTGAGTTTGCAAGCATGTTTAGGTTTTGAGAGGAAAAACGTTGCTAGAGATCCAGCATGGTGCAACAGTTTGAGCGTTGGACTATAACTCTGGAAAACCAGGGTTTGAATCCTCACTTGCATCCGTTGTTCCAGGTCCTATTCTCTGGAACAGCAGAAAAAAGGCTTGCTCCCTCCTCAATATGACACCCCTTCAAATATTTAAACACGGCTATCATATCACCTCTTAACCTTCTCTTCTCCAGGCTAAACATATCCAGTTCCCTAAGTCGCTCCTCATAGGGATTCATGGTTTCCAGACCCTTCACTATTGCCCTCCTTTGGACACGCTCCAGTTTTTCCACATCCTTTTTGAATTGTGGTGCCCAGAACTGGACACAGGATTCCAGGTGAGGCCGGACCCAAGCAGAATAGAGTGGCACTATTACTTCCCTTAGTCTAGACCAGGGACCGGCAACCTACGGCTAATGGTTTGAAGTTACAGTGCAAAGAACAAACCTGTACTTTCTCTTGTTGCAAAGAACAAACCTGTACTTTCTCTCTGGGGCAGCCCTTTAGATATTTAGAGTTGCATATATATTCATGCATGCTCGAGTCTATACAGTGGGTCCTTACTATCTGCTGGGCTTTGGTTCTAGGATCTCCCATGGATACCAACATCTGTGGAAGCTCAAGTCCCATTACATACAGTGGGGTAGTAAAAATGGTGTCCCTTAAATGATAAAATCCAGTATATATTCAAAAAGCAAACCTTGATTTTGTCATTTTATATAAGGGATACCATTTTACTAACCCACTGTATATCATGGGCATATATCATTGAGCATCCACAGATTTTGGTGTCCATGGGGGGTCCTGGAAGTATACACTATACAGAGCAGGTCTGTAACAGGCTAGGCTTTGACACCAATGCCACATTTCTTCTCCTCTTCACTCTCCCCATCCTTGCATTATTGATAGGCACATATCTGTTAAAGATTTTCCCACAAAGCAACAGGAACACCTTGGATTCAAGCTTGGATAACTTCCAGGTACAATTTTATGGCTACATATCCTACACTGACTCACGGTGCCTCTGCACTGTATCAATAATGCAGTTTGAAATCACTTTAAGTGCTGCCGCGCCATCTTATGAAATCCTGGGATATGTAGTTTTACAACTCACAAAACTACAAATTCAGGGATTCTGTAGGATGGAGCCATTTCAGTTAAGACATGGCCAAATGGAATTATTTCTACAGTGTAGATGCACCCTCAGAGGCAGTAAGAAAACATGGGTGGGATGTAATTTGCTTTTACTATTGTACCGTATTTTATTGTGAGCCGCCCCAATTGATCTCAAAGGGGTGGGGTATAAATAAATTTTATTAATTATTATTATTATATTATGCTATCTTGGAGGCATTCAAATCATCAGGGCTGGATGAACTGCAACCTAGGGAGCATCCACATTGCACAATTATAGTAGTTTGATCCCATTTTTACTGGGAATTGTCATCTCTAGAGTTCTCTGCTGGAAAATTGTAATCCACTATAGTTCTGAGATTTCCCCCAAACTACAAATCCCTGGATTCCATGGGGTGCATCCATGGTAATGAAAGTAGTATCAAACTGCTGTACTTGTGCAATGCAGATACGCCCTTGGGATACTAAAGGAAACTGTTCACATATGCTCTGAATCTCTGTTTGTATTGTCTTTTAATTAATTTTAAAGTTGAATAGTTTAACTTTTTATATTGTTCAGCTGCTTTTTAAATAACTTTTATCTTTAGACTTTTATCAAAGTTTTCGTATAGTTTTTAATTTGTATTTTTTTAAAAATACATTGTTAGCCGCCTTGAGTCCCAATATTGGGAGAAAGGTGGGATGTAAATGAATTAAACAACTGCAACAAAAACAACAATAACCTGTATCATGTTTGAGAAATCTGGAGAATGGGAGATATATTAAAAGTCTGGAGAAAGGAAAACATTGACCGAATCTTTTAAAAAGAGACAGAAAAAGAAGGAAACAAGAAAGTGGTCATTTTGACTTTGATATGAAGGCAGATAATAGATTATAAAGGAGTCACTTTCTATGCATCTTGATGCCATTGCAGCAATTAGTTGAAGGCCAACATGGACCTGTCAAGAATAAACCCTGTCAAAATAATCTTATCTCTTTTTCTCTGATTGGGTTACTAAATTAATAGATTGTGCGAATGCAATGGAAATAATTTGTCTTGATGTCAGTAAAGCATCTGGCAAAGAAATTAAGTTTATCACTTTGGTTAAATGTCAGCTGGATGATAATAGTCACCTCAGTTTGGAAAATCATACTCAAAGAATGCTCATTGGAGATTTCTCATTCCAAAGGTCTGTCTTAGCACCAGTATTCTCAACATTTTATTTTATTTTTAATCAAGGATTTAGATTAAGGAGTGGAAGTAACCTTCAATGAATCTGCAGATGACACAGAACAGGGAAGGGAGAGAAGACATTTATAGAAGACAAAGTGACCTTGACAGAAGGGAACGCTGGGTTGAAAGTGAAGTGAGATTTGAATTCAACAAAGAAAATGGAAAATTCTCCATTTAGACTCCTACCCTACCTCAATCAAATGTACGTAGGTGGAAACATGGAAGCATTATATATGAAATGTTCCCAGAACTCAGGCCTGCAACGAATCACAGTCTGATCAAGAGCCAGTAGTGTGATGCTGCTGCAAAAGTTACTAATGCAATTTCAAGCTGAACTGATAGAACCATTGTTTTCAAATCACATGAATTACTTCATTTTATTCCCTCATCTGGAGTACAATGTCTAGTTCAATTGTTGAATGGTGGGGAAGTCCACAGGCAAATCTCAGCACCCAAATGGATCTCCTCTAAATGGGGCTAACAATAGAATTTAGGGAAATGGTTGTGGAATTCCGCTTGCATGAATTGAATACGCCTGTTGCACAATGGCCAAAAAGTTACAATTATGTGTGTAAGGGAATGTACATTGCCGTATGACACATACATGACTATGGCTATGAGCTCTTAGATATTCACAAGTGCAAAAAAGCCCAAACAATCTCTCTTAAGCTAGAATTTGAGTACTTGTACAAAAGATCTTGCTTAAGGTTGTGTTGCCTATCCGAGTGGCCAGATACCAAAGCAGACAGGGATTATCTGCTTTTTTGACCTATGTAGAATAGTGCTTCTTGGCCCTTGGTTTTAGATGTCCTGAATTTCTAACTCCCAGAACCCCTGTCCACTGGCTATGTTGGGCTTTCTGGGAGTTGAAGTCCAAAACATCTGGAAGACCGGTGTTTGAGACCACTGGTGTAGAAGAGCATGATGAGTTTGCCCTCAAACTACAGGAGCATTGATAGTATCTTCAGGCATGGCAGAATGATTGTATCTTCCTGCATGGGGTTGGATTGGATTGGAGACCTTGGGGTCTCTTCCAACGCTATGATTCTATGAATCTGGCCACACCAAAATGGCTCAGGTTTATCCAGCGGTCTCAAACTCTGGGCCTCCAGATGTCTTGGATTTCAGATCTCAAAACTCTTGACTATTGGCCAAGCTGGCTGGGGCTTCTGGGAGCTGAAGTCCAAGACATCAAGTAGACCAAAGTATGGGAACCACTGGATTTTAATTTAACTGATCATGGGCATATGAAGCTCTCTTAATCAGAAGTGTATTGCTGATCTATCCAACCTAATATTATCCATTTTGCAAGGCCTTCTACTCAAGACACCTTGGCCTTGCTTGCAAATATTCTTTCAGAGTTGGATGACCAAAGGTTGAGGCCATTGGTGCAGAAAACCTGCTGAATTTCCTCTTCTACTGAACTATTTAAGATCCATCTTGGGACCTAGGTCCCTGCCTTTTCCTGGACTAAAACTGAAATGGAAAAAGAGATTCACACAAGATCTTCACTCCAGGAGGATCTTGTCCAGGTAGATGTCATAACTGCAAAGTAGGACAATGCACCATAGGATGTTCAAGAAAAATGTAGGGCGTTGCAAAATAAAAGCTAAAAACACTCATAGAAATGCTTCTTATTCATGCTCAAAATGGAGGACACTTTGGAACTCCTCCTGGACTGAAGGTTGAAAGGTAGAACATGCCCTGGAAAAGGAGGACACTTGGTCACCCTGTGTCCAGGTGCCCCCACCATCTGAGAATTAGGGTATTGGGGAACCATTTTGGGTATCACTCCAGTGCCTGATGAGTTATTCTGCTGAATTTTTATCTTCTGCAAAGTGCTGGTTCTGATTTTAGCTTGGGAATCGAATTTTGAATTTTAGATTGTCTTCCAAGCCAACCTGAAGGTGTCAGCTGGCACTGAAGGGTGAGGAATACACCACAGAAATGAATAAGGCATGAGGTTACAAATTGCACTCTTACACTTGATTAGTCCTATGAACTGCTTTTGAAAATTATCATAAATTCGATCATGCAAATGGAAATGTTTTACATATTTATTTCTCTGCATAGTAAAGATAAAAACAGCAAGGACATGGAAGAAATCGTCAAGGTGTATCCATCCACTGATAGCTTGACAGAATTTGCATCCTTGCGTTATTGGAAAAAATGGAATTTAGCCTTCACCTTGCTAGAAGTGAAATTGGTGAAGATACTTTGGAGGTCACCCAGTTTCCATTTATAACAAATAAAAGGTATACTTGACTTAATAAGGTGAATGACTTTGTTAACAGAAAATTTAAAACCCGAGGAAGAAAGAATATGGAAAAAATGGGTGCTACACCACTGTGATGTAGTGATTTGAGTGTTGGACTGTGACTCAGGAGGCCAGGGTTCGAATCCCTGCTAGGTCATGGAAACTCTGCTTGGTCATGGAAACCCACTGGGTGACCTTGGGCAAGTCACAACCTCTCAGCCACAAAGGGTGGCAAAGGCAAATCCCCTCTGAAGAACCATGCCAAGAAAACTGCATGATAGGTTTGCCTTAGAGCAGGGGTAGGCAACCTTTCCCCTTTAAGGGCTGAGGGACTTCAGCTCCCAGAAGCCTCAGCCATGTTGGCCAGTAGTCCCATGTTGGCCAATAGCTCCTGGGATTCTGGGAGCTGAAGTCCCTTGGCCCTTAAAGGGGAAAGGTTGCCTACCCCTGCCTTAGAGTCTCTGTTAAGTCCGAAACAATTTGAACCCTAACCCTAACCCTACAACAGTTCAACATGTTTCAGCAAGCTAGCCATATGCACATGTGAAATGAAACAATAAGGGGGTCAGGTAAGCTTTCTATAAGTCAACAAAAACATTGGAATGTTCTAAGGAACACTTACAACAAATAAGGAATCCAAAATCCACAACACTTTGGGTCCCAAGCATTTTGGATAAGTGATATGCAACCTGTACTATTCTCCATAAACCTTTAATAACTATACTTTTTTAAAAAGAAAAGTGGATACAAAGCTACTAGTGAGCCAGACCACCTATTCATGTCACTTATTAAAAGTAGAAGCAACTATCATCTACTGTGTGGACCTGAGGAATGTCAGTCTTGCCAAACATCATTGCACCAGTTCAACTTAACTGGGTGAAATTTTGTTCCTGAACCCAATGGTGTTGGAAAATGCACTCTTTTGGGCTACAGCTCCCAGTATCTCCTAGCTACCACAGCCACTGGATGCTCAAACATACGCAAAACATTATTATCCTTGTGAGTCCTTCTAAGTGAGATTTTGGGGCTAATCCATGCTACTCAACAACAGCCAAGATCTTACTTACACTGTGCTTGTGTAATGTAACTACACTCATGTAAAGTGGTGGTTGCGGTACATTAGCCTTCTGCTGAATACCAGTATCATGCAACCATAGGAACATAGAGTTGGAAGAGACCACAAGGGCCATCCAGTCTAACCCAATTCTGCCATGCAGGAACACACACTCAAAGGATCCTCAACAGATGGACATCCATCCTCTGTTTAAAAACCTCCAAAGAAAGAGACTCCACCACTCTCCGAGGGAGTATGTTCCAGTGTCAAGAAGCTCTTACTGTCAGGAAGCTCCTCCTATTATTAAGCTGGAATCACTTTTCCTGTAGTTTGCATCCATTGCTCCATGTCCTATTCTCTGGAGCAGCAGAAAACAAGCTTGCTCCATCCTCAATATGTTGCTTCTTGTAATATTTAAACAGGGCTATCATATCAACACTTAATCTTCTCTTCTCCAGGCTAAACATACCCAGATTCCTAGGTCTCTCCCCATAAAGCATAGTTTCCAAACCTTTTACCATTTCTGTCGTCCTCCTTTGGACACACTCCAGCTTCTCAACATCCTTTTTAAATTGTGGTGCCCAGAACTGGACGCAAGATAACTCCAGATGAGGCCTGATCAAAGGAGAATAGAGTGGCACTATTCCTTCCCTTGATCTAGACACTAGACTTCTATTGATGCATCCTAAAATCACATTGGCTTTTTTAGCTGCCACATCACACTGTTGACTCATGTTCAACTTGTGGTCTACTAGGACCCCTAGATCCTTTTCACATGTACTGTTGTTAACCCAGGTGTGCCCCATCTTATATCTGTGTATTTCATTTTTTCTGCCTTATGTGAAGTACCTTACATTTCTCCCTATTGAAATTCATTTTGTTAGTTTTGGCCCAGCTTTCTTTGTTGATTCTATTAACCACCCTTGAGTCAATCTTGACTCATGGCAACATCTCCAAGACTCCCTATCCTCCTATTCTTCTAAGCTCTTGCAGATTCATACTTGTGACCACCTTAATAGAATACATCCATCTAACATGTGGTCTTTTTCTCTTTCTACATCCCTCCACCTTTCCTAGCATTATTGTCTTTTTAAATGATTCTTGCCTTCTCATGATGTGGCCAAAGTATGACAGCCTCAGTCTAGTCATCTTTGCCTCCAGGGAAAATTCAGGCTTGACCTGTTCTAGGACCCATTTATTTGTTATTTTTGCTGTTTGCATATATACCGTAGTTTCCATAAGACCATGAATCAAGTGGTAGACTGAAGAGACTTATGCACCATCCAAGAATGCACAACTGCATGAGCAACAGTTAACACTAAGGGCCTTTGCAGACTGCCAGAAACAGTGCAAATTGAGTCC